AAGTATTTTAAAAAAAGTAAAAGATGCCAGAGACAGTATGGCTACATTTATTAAACCATTAACAATCCAATACTTTGATGTCTTCGTGACAGCATCTTCTTCAAGTAACTATGTCAATTTGACGATGCAAGAAATGTGCGCTGCATGACCGAGTCCAAAGTGAGTAAGCTTAAGCCATGTAAGCATCTCGATTTTTCATGTTGTAACGACTAAAATAATAATACATGCGTTACTTTTACTCATTTAAGTAAGAATTTGTTGACGTTTTTCAAAAATAGTATGACAGTGACGATTTATTTTTGACTTGTGGGCTAGACAATGAATAGATTTATGAAAGTCAAGCGATAAGTAAAAAGCTGGAAAACTTTTCTGTAAGTTGGTTAAAACATAAACAGCCATTTTCATTGCTCTAACTTACTGATGTTTCAATAAATCATGTTGCTTCCATTTCGTACATTGTCACGTTTGCATAGATCACGGAGTAGGATGTCAAACAGACATTGAAATATTGAAATATTAATTGATTGGTAAATATAGCCATAACTCTGGTTCCTAATAAATTTTATTTATTTTGAATAGTTTTTTTTTATCTAACTGATATTTAAGAGTTTGAGTGAGAAAAAGAAAAAATTGGTGACGGTTGTCAAGAAAAAACTTTATTAAATTTTGTAAGGTGAATGACAGGGAAAAGAAATAAGGTAGTAGAGCTAATTTTTGAAGGCTCTTAAACGTTCGTACTAAAGGGAAATTAATATTGCTGAATAGATATACATCATGATTTCAAAAATACTGTGATAATCTTGTTTAACATAAATCATTCTTACGATGAGTCTTTTGTCCTAGTGTGGTTCTCTAAAAAAAATCAAACTACTTCATGTATTTGTTTAGCATTTTTACCTTCAACAGATTGTTAATTTATTATCTTAAAATAATGTAACTATAATAGGCACATAATACCAGTGTAAGGATTCTTACTACTTGCCCACTGAAAGATCTTGATTCAAAAAAACACCTACCTCAATCAGCAGCATACTGAATGAAAAAAATTAAATCATTATTATGTATGTGAACATTGTTTCAAATTTTAATTAAGGAGGCCAAATATAAAGAGACAAAATCCTTGTCATTACTAAGCTAAGATTAAAACAGTAACTCACCGTATAATTTGTTATTTTCTACAATTGTTAAATGTGTCAAAGATTCCAAAGCCTATTGTACATGAGGACTCTAGGTTGAATGCCTTATAGAAATGACATAGAACACGTACATAGCACAAATTTGTATGCATATAAAATGGACCACAAACAACTATTTAATAACTATTTAACAAGAAACTGTTGTGATTAAGATTAGTTGTACATACCATTCTGTAATACAATATAAAAGAGTAATATATTTGTTAACTATATAACGCTGCACAGTGTTCTAGATTTGTCTTACGAAAGCTTACATCTGAGTCATCAAAGTTGTGTCATAATAAAAGTGAAACTTAAACAGTAATTGGCTGTCTCGTCATTTATTGTTGTTTTTTTTCTTTACAATTCATTGTACCAAGAATACCTTAGGATCACCTCTATATGAGGCTTAAAATTTGTCTACTGAAGGTTGTGACTTTGATTTTGATTCCTGAAGTATGTCATAAAAAATATGTACATGACACACACTTATGTGTATGTAGGATGGACCAAAAACATGTGTTAAATAGCTCCCTTACAAGAAGCCGTTACGATTGGAACTTGTTATAAATATCATTTTGAGGTATAATATGTTATTGTCATATTTTTGCTAATTACGTGATACGTCTACATTGTTAAAGATTTAATTTGAGAAGCGTCATCTTTTAGTTGCTACAGCGTTAGAATTAAGTTATCATGGTCCGCGTATTCAATGACCCTTAAAGTCAGGAGTAAGTAACTATCTAGGGATCATACGTAATTCTTATTACTTTTATCAATGTTCTAATTTTTCGGTTGTGATGCACAGAAAAACATTCGAATTAGTTGATTTTTCAACTATATTAACAAGTTTTTATCAATGAAAATTGTAAAATAATAACTCATTCCACATACAGCAAGAACTAATTATTAAATTGTAAATCATGCCTTAACCTACATAACACACGTATTTAATACCAGTATTATATGTATTTTGCTTCTGTATAGACAAATTTTTCTGATAAATGAAAAACACATGTTCTTGACTGATTTGATTGAACCTCAACTTGTGTTATCATATGAAAATACTGATTTTTGCTGAAAAAATATTAAAATTCTATTGGATTTCTGTTTTTTTTTTCTGTACGTAAATAATTTAAAAACTAGTTTGTTAAAAGAATAATTTTGTCTGCTTTTTTTCTTTCAATATTTTAATGTTTAAGTTCTTAACGCTTAACAACACAAAGAAAACAAAGTTTCAATAGAATACTTTGCTGTGTTAAGAACCTATTGCAATAGGTGTGGATAAACATCAGTGTATTTGTAAGTAACTAGATAATCAGTTGTCTACGAAAATAACGTATTTAAATGAAAATAGAAAACTGTATGGGTTAGTATTTGTGAGTTTTGATTAAGGATACAAAAATTTGAATTTGTGAGGACTAAGGTGTTTCATTTACGTCGCCACATAGTACCAAAAAAATATTTTTACTTTACGTAAAATTTTTGGTTCATGTTAGAATGTTTCAAAAGACTCAAGCTCTTTTTAAGTTTAGTTCAATTACTTTACACAAGTAAGGAATAGAGAGTGTAAAAAGTACATCACCAACTGTAATAACAACCATCACACTAGTTTAAGGGCTTTTAAACTCTACGAATTATGTCAGATAACTTGAGTATTTTCGTAAAAATTGTTGAAATAATTGATACTCTGCATACTTGTTATAATCATGACTAACAACAAGCAGTAAAGAGTTAAAAAAATTAAATACTAAAGTTTTCATAACTAAACTGGAAAAAATTTGTTGACAAAGAATATAGTCCAAATCTATAAACTATGGTAATAAAGAATAAGAAAACTTTTTATTCGTAATTTTCTTTTGAATCTCAGAGTATCTTGTACACTTATCCAAATAATCATATTATACAGAAAAGCGTTTATTTACAATGAAAAAAAATTAAATAAGTGCATTTCTAAAGTGAACGAAATTTATTTTAGATGCACAATATTTTTTCCATTGGATCACTAACTGATAAACTTTATTGCTAAAAACAAGTAACTCCTATACTACAAAACAATTTTAAGTAAGAAAAACATAAGTTTCGATAAAATTACAAGCAGACCTTTAAAATATTAATCTATATATGACTAAGAATTTTTGTAGTTCTGATTAAAGAATCAACATTTTAAATGATATAATTTTTACACGTCAGGTCCCCGTTTGTATTTTTGGCCTTTTTTTTATTTTTGTTAGAAATAATAACTCATCAAAAAATATGAAGAAAAAAATAATAGAATGTTCGACCCTAAAATATATAAGTATGATGTTAAAATTTCTGGCCTATAAGAATATGGTCTTGCCTGTTATGTTGACGTAACTACCTCTGTTCTCTATGAAGAAAGCTCAAAGGCAAGAATAGCAAGCTAATATTTTATTTATATTTTTTCAATAGGCCAGTATGAAAACTTAGTGTATTATAAGACTCAAAAGTTTTGACTAAGACCAAATCAGTAGTTTCTTAGTAAATTCCTTAATAAAAACAAATATAGTGCAGAGATTTGTGTGTTAAAAAGCTTTGTTAATTTATTTCATAACTCATAAATTTTACTAATAGTAAAGGTGTCTAACAAGCAATACTTATAACAATTACCTGGCTGAGACTGGAGTTTGTCAAAGGTTCAGAAAAAATATGTATTACATATTCATTATGGAAATAAATTTTTTGAACGTTAAAAGTTAAATGTTGCAACTTATGGTTAAAAAATTGTTATGTAAGAAATCTGAAGGTTTGTGTTTATATATTTCTGCTGCAATTACTAAAAATTAACCAAAAATTTTAGAGACGTTAAGAAAAATTAAGTGTATTATTTAAATTAATTTTTATTTTTTTATGCAGTCCTGCTTAAAGTTTGTTTTTAAATTGCTTAGAACACATAAAATCTTACTTATATATACATTATCTTACACATGTGGGTATGTTTTTATAAGTGTCAAAGTACAATGTTCATACAGGCCTATAGATAATATATTTATGCGTGCATGTGTTTGTGTGTGTGTGTAGAAAAGAGTATATAACTGGATGTGTACAAAATACAAGTAAAAATGGGATCGTGTAGAGTTATATTCTTAATACAAAATGTTTAAAGAAATCAGAGAAATTCTTTCATTTAAAATTAAATAATTTTAAATTCTAAAACTGTAAGTCCTTATTTGTTAATATTAAAAAAAAAAATTTTATTGTTTTTCAGAGTTAATATTATTTACAATACAACCAATATTTTAAATATGTTTAAATGTTAAGCTCACTATTGTTACCTTATTGAATAATGCAATGCGAAGATTGATACATCATTAAGAATCCTACTTATTTTTTTAAAGTCACGTTAATTAGTTATTATTTTTTTAAAGCCACGTTACTTAGTAGTTGCATTTTACTTATTTATCTTTAAATATGTAAAGTCATAGTGTGTCTAAAAATGTACATATCCTTCAATGTGATTGTTATAAGACTTTACTATATTCATAAAAATCTCACTACATCTAAAAAACCAAATAGATATATTTGTTCACGGATATACATGCATAGTAATACAAGCATGCAAAATAAATATGTTTAAAAATTTAATATATTTTTGACGCCTCATATTTTTTGCGAAAAATTGAATAAAACTTCAGCAAAAAATAAACATAATTCTTAAATAAATTCAATATTGTTATGTTAATATTATCCATTGAACATTCGATAGGAGATAATAAACTTAAAACAGTTTGAATAAGAAAAAAATTATTTTGTAAGAATAATACAAGAGCAGTAAGACAGTAATTATTAAAGTAACGGCTGTACCATAGCTGTAGTAGACGAAAGATTCCATGAAACTGTATCAATCACTTTTATGAACATAAATACATGGAAATAAACTGAAAGTTTGTGTGAAAAAAACCACGAATTAACTAGAAACTGCCCAATCACTCTTAACATTTTAAATAGTCTTATTAATAATTGTTTTAATGCTTAATTTTAACTTATTACATTGTAGTTTCTGAACATCATCTTTATATGACGAATATTTAAATCAACTATTATATATTTTGTTCCTTATTTACCTTGTCTTCACTTTTTTATGTATGTAAAGTAAAGGAAACGTTAAAAATAATTCTCTTTAATAGAATAGGAACATGTATGACCTAGTAAGTTAAACTTGTCATGAGATTTTAAACTATTTCTTATTATATCTTATTGACAATCAAACTAAGAAATAACATTTAATTTTACGTTTATTTCTAAAGACACTCTTACTTAACGTGATGTCAGAACACTATTCACATCACGTACAACCTCCCACCATCACAGAGTCACCAACTCAGTTGGTTGTAGATATGTGTATGTATGTAGATACATACGCCTGGACGATCGTAAACAAATCTTAGCTTAAATTTTTATAAGTGTTAACAATTTTATTTATATCAAATTTTAAACTAACCAATTATTTTCATGTCCTTTGAGAAACATTATTATAAATAATACTCAAAAATATTTTAATTAATCTGATCCTATTATTTTCTTAACAAAAAGTATGTGATAAGGAGTTCTTAAAGTGACATGATCAAATTAACTTATGATAGTTTCATACAAATGTTAATTAATAATTAAGGAAAATTGTGAGCAAAAATCAGTTTCCTTAACTAATTTGACTCCATAAGTTAGCAACTATTTTATTCATACAAAACTGAACATAGAAGAGTAGAGATCAGCACATTATTATGATTAATGGTACTAGAATTATTATTATTATTATTAATATTGTTAATGTTATTACTATTATTATGAATGTAATTGTTGCTACTGTTTTTGTTTTTGTAATCATTTTTGTTACAGCTTTTTTAATTATTATAACAGCTGTTTATAAATTTTATTGTATCTTTTAACATCATTGATGCTATAAGTTTTACTGTTATAAGTGTTATTTTTATTATAATTTTTGCTTACAAAGTACAACTATTTATTTTAACGAAGAAGTACAAACAGGTACGTCATTTATAAAAATAGTAGTTTTTAGGGATAACCTTATTTTGAAATATCAACTTTGTATTTTATAGCTGTTGGACACTTATCGGTTGTTACACAAACCAAAAAAACTTTATTAAAACAGAAGCATGGCAAATTTTTAATTTTTCGAATTTTAACTTATGTTATTCATGAAATATCATTAAAAGTAAAATGATAACCATATTTATCTGAAAAATTTTTTTTTAGTTTTCTGTGTTTCAACCACTTAAGAGAGAAATTGAAGTAACAGAAATTGAATATTCGTCAAATTTAATTGTTGTTCAAGCAGTAGTTCTTTATTGCAAAGTTATTAGAAAAAAAAGAGTTTTCACATAAAAAAGTTGTTATGTGCAGAAAAATTACAACTTTAACATCATAAAGGAAAAAAATAATAGTTATAATCGCAATAGTTTCGTAAATTAATAAGAAAAATAACACAAAAAAGACTTTTAACTAAAACAATATCATAATAAAGACTCTATAAATAAAATCGAAATAATATCTTAAGTATAAGGTTAGGTGCATTTCATGTGTTCTGGATATCCATCCACGAACACTTATCACTTTAAAACTCGTATTCTAATACGCTGGTACGTATAACAGTAGAAATTTTGATCATAATCCCAACAATTACTCCAAACGCCTATTTTCTAAAATGTAAAATGTTTCTAATGCTTTTTATTCTCAAGTATTTATCGAAATAAAATGTTTTAAAAGAAGTAAGATCAAGAAACAAAGTCTAGTTTCTTGCTACATGACGATGCTTTTAATGTCCAAAAATAATTGAATAATTCAATACAAATTTTTATGACAATTTTTAAGCAGAACAAAATTTCACAATTAAAAATTATGAAGTAATAAAATTAGGTTTAAAGTTTCGTTCAGCTTTTTGACATTCAAAAGACTTTTTTTTACTAAAACTAGGAAAATAATTTAATAAATGTCTTTTTCAAATAACCCGTGCAAATAAAACAATAGACGAAACGAAATTAAGGACTGACAAAGTAATGAGTTCAACATAAATTGATTTACTTTTATAAACCATCGCGTATCTACTTTATAATCATTTTAATTCTTTAATAAGGTAAATTTCTTTTTACCGAGCAAAATATAGTATTATTTTATGAAATTACTAAATTAAAGTCACGTTAATTAGTTATTATTTTTTTAAAGCCACGTTACTTAGTAGTTGCATTTTACTTATTTATCTTTAAATATGTAAAGTCATAGTGTGTCTAAAAATGTACATATCCTTCAATGTGATTGTTATAAGACTTTACTATATTCATAAAAATCTCACTACATCTAAAAAACCAAATAGATATATTTGTTCACGGATATACATGCATAGTAATACAAGCATGCAAAATAAATATGTTTAAAAATTTAATATATTTTTGACGCCTCATATTTTTTGCGAAAAATTGAATAAAACTTCAGCAAAAAATAAACATAATTCTTAAATAAATTCAATATTGTTATGTTAATATTATCCATTGAACATTCGATAGGAGATAATAAACTTAAAACAGTTTGAATAAGAAAAAAATTATTTTGTAAGAATAATACAAGAGCAGTAAGACAGTAATTATTAAAGTAACGGCTGTACCATAGCTGTAGTAGA